ATAGCAACCTAGTATGGAATTTCCAAGGAGCAGCTGATGAGTTTGAACTGCTGACCTTGTAGTTCAAACCAACCTTGCAGTTCTGCGCTTATCCTACAGCGCCACACCAGGAGACCCATTAGCATTGCTGTTGTTTCCGAGTCAATTCCGACCCATAGCGATCCTGTATAAGGTTTCTGAGGAGCAGCTGGTGAGCTTGAACCACTGACCATGAAGTTCAAACAGCTTTGCAGACTGGTGCATTAACCCACAGCACCACACCAGGAGAAATATAAATCAAAAGAACAATAAGATACCATCTCACCCTAGCTTTAATAGCAAAGTTCCAAGAAACAGAAAACAACAAATACTGGTGAGGTTGTGGAGAGACTGGGACCCTTCTACCATGCTGATAGCACTGTAAAATGGTACAACCATTGAGGAAAATGGTATGACGCTTCATCTAAAAGTTGGAAATAATGCTGTAAGACCCAGCAATCTTTTACTTAGTATATATCCTCAAGAAATAAAAGCTGTGACATTAATAGATATCTGCACACATGTTCATTGCAAAAAAATGGAGACAGCCTAAATGCCCATCAAGGGAGGAATGGATAAACACACTTTGGTACACATGATAGAATACTAGGCAATGTTGAAAAATAAGGATGAATCCTTGAAACACCTGAAAAAGATTATGCTGAGTGAAATTAGTCATGAAACGTCAAATATTGTAAATCAAGAAAAGGTTTTCAAGTTAAACATTCTATGATGGTTACCAGGGTGAAAAGGGAGTGCTGTGGCTCCATACAATAAGCACTGGACTTTGAACCACAAGTTCTGTGGTTCAAGCCTGGCAGATGCTCATCAGGAGAAAGATGAGGCTTTCTGCTCCCGCAAAGATTAATAAAGCCTAGGAAACCCTATACAGGGCTGCTATGAGTTGGAACAGACTAAGGCACATAACAAAAAAAGGGGTGGAGGGGAAGGGAGAGTATTTTACTGGATAGAAGGGTGTTATTAGGTGCCCTCGAGTTGGTTCTGACTCGTAGCGACCCTGTATAGGGTTTCCAAGGAGTGGTTGGTGGGTTTGAACCACTAACCTTGGGCTTAGCAGTCCAGTGCTTATCCTACAGTGCCACACCAGGACTCTGACTAGAGAGTGTTGTTATGTGCTGTGGAGTTGGTTCCGACTCATAGCGACCCTGTATAGGGTTTCCAAGGCTGTACATCTTTATGGGAGCAGAAAGCCTCAACTTTCTTCCACGGAACAGCTGATAATTTCAAACTGCTGACCTTAAGGTTTGCAGCCTGATTTGTAACCACTATGCTACCAGAGCTCCTTCCTGCTAGAGGGTAGGCGCGTGTGTTAACTTGAGTGAACAGGGAAGGTAATATACAAAAGGAAGGTAGGCAAAAGAATGAAAAAGGGAGGAATGTAAGAATTAAAGGGAATAGATGTAAATACTGCTATCTACACAACCGTGGAACAGCAGTGTTGTATAGAAATGGACAGATACACAGACGAAATGGGTATAGGAGGGACAGTGGGAGTATAACCACATAAATTAAGGTTTGACAGGATATTTGGGTATTCATGGGTGTTTAACTTCACTGCAACTACATCTATAAATGTGGAGCCTATGGGGTTAAATTATGAAGATTT